TGTTTTAGTCCTGGTTTAGACCTGGTTTAGTCCTGGTTTAGACCTGGTTTAGTCCTTGTTTAGACCTGGTTTAGTCCTGTTTTAGTCCTGGTTTAGACCTGGTTTAGTCCTGTTTTAGTCCTGGTTTAGTCCTGGTTTAGTCCTGTTTTAGTCCTGGTTTTAGTCCTGGTTTAGTCCTGTTTTAGTCCTGGTTTAGACCTGGTTTAGTCCTGTTTTAGTCCTGGTTTAGTCCTGTTTTAGTCCTGGTTTAGACCTGGTTTAGTCCTGGTTTAGTCCTGTTTTAGTCCTGTTTAGTCCTGTTTTAGACCTGGTTTAGTCCTGGTTTAGTCCTGGTTTAGTCCTGGTTTAGACCTGGTTTAGTCCTGTTTTAGTCCTGGTTTAGTCCGGCATCATTTAAGTAACGTAAACAGGAAACGGCCGTTATCCGTTTTTTCCATTTTTCATTTAAACACAAAATTGAAAACTGAAAAAACAAATCAATATCGTTTTGTTTTTTTGTTTTTTTCACAAATAATGAAGAAATTAGCAGTTTTTTTTTCTTTCATTTTCTTATTTTTGGTTTTATTTTCAAAAGCGAACGAACGAACGATCCACAGATTCAGATGTTTTCTCAGATTTGTCTGTTACGTTGAGGCTCATATTTTTCCGCACCATTACTTTCTAAAGTCTGTAACAATGAGCAGAGATTATGTAAAGGAGTAAAAAGCTCTTCATACCAGTCCAACATGTCGGACCAGTTTCCTCTGTTACTATACTCCATGGATATCATCACAAACGTATAATCCATAGTAAAGATCACAAATTAAAGCTTCATTGTGTAACTTTGCGAGTGCAGGGTGTGTCACTTTCTCGTTTGAACGCACATGTCGTTGAATGTTTCACAGTTTGACGTTAAACAGCTTCACCTTAACTTTATTCAATTACAGGTGGTTTTATTTGGCTTTCTGACTGTGAGCGGGGGTCGCCTCTCCACAGATCTGACCTGTAACTTGGTCTGGTTTGGTCTCCATGAAGATAGAAAGGCTTAATGCCACACTGTGAAACATTCCAGACAAAGCAATACCGCCAGAAAAGTTACACAATGCACCTTTAAAGAGGGGAGATTGTGTAAAATCGATTTCTTTTTAAGCTTTTTTTTAATCTGTACTTTCTACTCCATTAGATTTTTTAATAGGACTGAAAAGTAAAAGTACCCAGGTTTTCTGGGGTCCCTTTAATACAAGAGCCCCCCAGGAGGTCTATCAGGACCAAAAACAAAACTAAAACAAAACACTACTCACACCAGTCCATCTTTCCCACAATCAGGGAATAATTTAGCTCATAAAAAGAAAAATAGATCTTTATTTAATTGTACACCGTATCTATACACATCCAGATTTAGACTATGTTTACAACTGAAACGAATCATCGTATTGGAAATGTTTTGCGTCCAGACACGTCGTTTCTGTGTCCACATGTCTTCCCTACCCACGCAGCTTTGAACACATTTTTTTTACATTTTACAGAAACGAAACTTAAAACCGCATGGCTCATTTGCATAAACTAAGAGCTCAAAAGAACAGCTCGCTCCTTGTGCGCTGATGTGGTTCAGCTTCTGTCGGACTAAAGGACACGACTCAGTGGAATATGAGTGTTCTTTCTGTGACAGAGGGGTGTTCTGCTGATGGTGAGTCTGTTCTGTGTTTCTGTCGTGTTGGAGATGGTTCATGTGAAACTTTTCAGAGATTATACGTCTGCAGGTCGTATGTATAGACCGTACAGTAGTGCGGCTTCGTAGCTTAACATAGTCAGCCTAAACTGGGGTGTCAAAACCTTTTTCATCAAGGGCCACATATCTAAACACACAGTAGCTCAGTTGGTAGAGCATTCGCCCACTGATCTAAAGGTTGGTGGTTCGATTCCAGCTCTCACATAAACATCACAGGTTGAGCAGTCAGATCCCTGACCCACAGGTTGGCTGGTGTGATTCCAGTCCCACAGATGAATGCTGTCGTTGTGTCCTTGGGCAAGACACTTAACCCACCTTGCCCACAGTGTCTGCGTACACTGGTGTGTGAATGGGTGTGTGAATGGGTGAGTGGTTCTTGTTGTAAAGCACTTTGAGTGCCTTGAAGGTGGAAAAGCGCTATAGAAAAATGTGACCATTTACCATTTACCATGAAGCAGAGGCTGATCGAGGGCTGTAGTCTGGTGCTCAATACAGTGAATAACTGAAATATGTGCATGTTCAGAGATTATACGTCTGCAGGTCGTACGCACAGACACACGTTTATATGAATAGACATATATTCTTGCCTCTTAGTGTTTTGGCGGTGGATTACGTCAGTGTTTTCAGGCGTCCACACACGTGCATTGTCATCAGACTCTGTCGACTCAGATGAAGCTTCATGGGAACTGGCAGCACTAGATTGTTCCGTCTCTGGAGCCGTTTTCCATTGGATTAGTGTGGACGAACACTGCATCCACAACGAAAATGACTCAAATACGAACTAGTTTGGACGGGGCCTTAGACTCTGGTCGACCTCTTGGGTCTGATGGAGTCAGAGCAGTTCCTCCGCAGTGAGCAGCTCAAAGGCTCGAGGTGGAGGAGCGGACAGGAGCAGGAGTGTACGACAAGATCACACATATGCACGGACAAAAACGGATTTCTCAATATTTTTGACAGCCAAAGCTCACTGTGTTCTACACGGCCGTCAAACTGCACACAAACTCAAAATTGAATCATTCATTTCAAACAGGTTTTAGAGCTCTTCAAAGCACAGAAACTGCACGAAATCTGTTTTATGTTGCATTTCTTCTCTTGTGAAGCCCTTTCCAAACTGTTTATAAAAGGTGCTATATAAATAAAGGTAAAATATGACCAAAATTGTGGACTGATCCGATTATTTTGGTATATAGTAAATTATTTCAAAGTCTGTCTCGCCTCACCAATAAACTAAATGTGTTAAATTTAAGATAAAGATAAGTACAATTTAAAGGTTCCATTTTATAATATATTCTAGGGATGGGATGACAAGATCTAATTTAATCTAATCTAATTTCTACTTAATTAGGCAGGTTAATAAATAGGTTTTAAATATATATTCTAGTAACAACAAATAAACAGTAAGTAAAAACAGCTAGTATAAAAAAATAATAGAAGCAAAGAAAACAACAAAACAAAACTCATCATTTTATCAAAATCACGACTTTTGATGCTTCATTTGACCTCAAAATCAGCACGAAATACTTTAACTTTTTTAGAACAGGTACTTCAATACTTTAAGCAGCTATTTTATACTTTTGCTTTTATGATTCTGTGTGTCTGTTTGTGTTTTTTGCTTCTGTATTTGTACTTTTACATTAGTAACGTCCAAATGCATTAGTTTGATCAAATATTGTCGTGCGTTAGTCTCTGGGTGGTAATTTTACACTTTGTTTACGCTGGTGCTTTCGTCAGTGGAGTTTCAGATATCAGAGTTGTTTGTTTTGCTTTTTTTCTATCAAACTCGATCCTTTATTTGCATCTTTTTCACCGACAAAGTATTAAACGTTCTGAACAATAGTTAATTCTGTCTAGTCACATCCTTTATAACCTTTAACCTATAAAAGCTAACCACTCTGCCAGGAAGTCTAACCCACAACCTCGTCACTCAGCTGCACTGTGTAACTTTTCTGGGGAGATGTTGTGGCTTTGTCTAGAATGTTCCACCGTATGAACTTAAACACATTTATCGAGTAGAGACGTGACGATAATCTGTGGATCGTTCGTTCATTTGGTTTTCAAAATAAAACCAAAAGTAAGAAAGTGAAAAAAAAACAACAATTTTCTTCATTATTTGTCTCCAAAACCAAAATGAAAAAACAGATAATGATTTTTTTTTTTTTCAGTTTTCGATTTTGTGTTTAAATGAAAAATGGAAAAAACGGATAACGGACGTTTCTCGATTACATGACTTAAACTGTGATGCTGGACTGAACCAGGACTAAACCGTTTTCAGTCCTGGTCTGGTCCCAGTCTCAATCATGGTCTCAGTCCTGGTCTCAGTCCTGGTCTCAGTCCCGGTCTCTGGTCCCGGTCTCAGTCTTAGTCTCAGTCCCGGTCTCAATCACAGTCTGGTCCTGATCTGGTCCCGGTCTCAGTCCTGGTCTTAGTCCCCGTCTCAATCACGGTCTGGTCCTAGTCTGGTCCTGCTCTCAGTCTTTGTCTCAGTCCCAGTCTGGTCCCGCCCTCAGTCCTGGTCTCAGCCCTGGTCTCAGTCCCGGTCTGGTCCCAGTCTTAGTCCTGGTCTCAACCACGGTCTGGTCCTGGTCCCGGTCTGGTCCCAGTCTCAGTCCCGGCCTCAGTCCCTGTCTCAATCACAGTCTGGTCCTGATCAGGTTGCGACCTCAGTCTTGGTCTCAGCCTCAGTCTGGTCCCGGTCTCAGTCCCAGCCTCAGTCCTGGTCCTGTTCCCGGTCTCAGTCCTGGTCTCAGTCCTGGTCTCAGTCCTGGTCTGGTCCTGGTCTCAGTCTCAGAACATAATCATAATTATAATCATATATAACGGATGTAAACAAAAATGTAATTGTACCAGCAAAAAAAATAAAACTACTTTCAGCTCTGGTTTTCTAGTCGGCGACCGAACTAATAAGACAAGTTTTGAATCCAACTTAATTCAAACAGAGACGTGCATTTCTCAAGAACAATGGGGAAAAACAGACAAAAAGTATTAAAACAAACAAACAAAACAAAACAAAACAAAACTGTGCATTACAGTGAGGGCCCCAAACTCAGTTCACCTAGGGCCCCCAAATTGTTATCTCCGCCACTGCTTTCCATAATCGATTATCTTTAACTCCAGGTCTGTTTTTGAGGAGGTAACAACATCATGCGAAGCTCACACGAGTCAATTTTGAGTAATTTTGGACGTTTAAATTCAAGAGACAAGCACCACACTCACGTTTTGTCTTGTTATTTTTGCCTGTGTCTCAGCAGCTCATCTTAACTGTGTGTTTTTGTTGTTTTTTCTCTTTTTTCAGGTAAATCTGCACTGATCGTTTTCGCTCACCAGAGCCCGAAGTCGTTCAACGCGGCGGCGAAAGATGTGGCGGTGAAGGAGCTGAAGAAGCAGGGATTTAAAGTGATGGTGTCTGATCTTTACGCCATGGGCTTTAAAGCCACCGCCACCAGAGAAGACTTCACCGGTGAGGACTGTTCATCAAAGCTGCACTGTGTCACTTTTTGTTTGTTGGGTTCGTCATCTGCTTGTTTCTATGGCTACGTCATTGTTCCACAGTGTGACATTAAACAGCTCTACTTCAGATTTATTCAATTACAAGTGGTTTTAAAGCTCAAAAATACCAAGAAAAACAACATTCTGACTGTGAGTGGGGTCGCCTCTCCACAGATCTGACCTGTAACTTGGCCTGGTTTGGTCTCCATGAAGGTAGAAAGTTGTAATGTTCATATTGTGGAACATTCCAAAGCAATAATGTCTCCATTTGATGAACCCTCCAACAGAAAAGTTGCACAATGCGCCTTTAAATTTTTTTTTTTTTTATTTTCTGATCTGTTATAATGTAGTTTCCTCGTCACAAAGCAGAGGTGATTTGGACTCGAGTCAGTCTTGAGTCACTGGTTTTAGGACTTGAGACTTGACTTGATAAAATGGACTAAGACTTGAGACTCGACTTGGACTTGAAGGTCAATGACTTGAGAAGCACTTTTAAATCTGAATTCTTTCTATTCTGACTGTAATGATTCACACTAAGATCTTGTCAAGACATTTAAAAATTAAAAAACTGCATTTCTACAACTCTTGTATACTCTATAAATACTCATAAATAAATATACTGTGCCTTTTTTAAGTACAATTTAGTTTAAAAGTCATAAATTGCTGAGACCAAAGCGTTACTTGGTATTTTGATTTAAAGGCTTGAAATGACTTGAAGCTCAAAACAGACGACTTGGACTTGACTTATGGGCCAGTGACTCAATACTCAACTCGGACTTAGCTGTATATGACTAGGGACTTGACTCAGACTTGAGGTCAAAGACTTGAGACTTGGCACCACTCACTTGGTTCCATAGAGACTGATTTACTTTAATGCCATAATGTGAAACCTTCTAAATGAAGCTGTAACATTTTTTATCCATGTCCGTTTTGTAGGAGAGCTGAAGAACCCAGACCACTTCCGTTATGGAGAGGAGGCTTCAGCCGCCTTTAAAAATCAAACCCTCGCTGACGACATCAAGAAGGAGCAGCAGAAGGTTCAGGAAGCCGACCTCGTTATCTTCCAGGTCAGAGGTCAACACTGTCATAATTATCATAATGAGACTGGACTTGCCTCTCTACAGACCTGACACGTATTTGTCCTGGAGGAGGCCGACTGCTGCGTGTTTCCATGGAAATGTTCTTCTTGTCATAAAACTTTCTGTGGACGATGTTCCAAAGTTTGGGTTTAACTTTCTATTTCCATTGAATCAGGCAGGTGAAGTTCCACCTGCAGAAAGTTACACATTGTTGTTTTAACATTTTATGGAGAGTATGAGTTCAGTTGGGCACCTGTTTGTGGCTCTTTTGGAGCCGTGAGAAACTGCTCTCTTTGAAATACTCCACAGCAGGGCTCTCCAACCTTTTTCCTCCAGCGAGCTACTTTGATAAAACACATGTACAATGGTAATAGGCATTTAAATAATCAAATATGACTTTTTCAGCACAATACTTGTAATTCAGAAGTCCCTTGGCGAGCGACTTGGAAGGGGGTGGAGAGCTACCAGTAGCTCTCAGTAACTGTCCATTAAAGTGAATAAAACACTTGTAAAGTGTTTCATATATTTGTCTGTGTCCAGTTCCCCATGTACTGGTTCAGCTTTCCTGCCATCCTGAAGGGCTGGGTTGACCGAGTTCTCACCGCAGGCTTCGCCTATTCTCTGGAGAGGATGTACGACAACGGCATGTTTAAGGTTAGAAAAAGGATTTTTCAAAAATTTTAAGTTTTGGGTGGTGAAAAATTACGTGTGACGGTGTGAAAATTGAGGCCATTATAGAACAATTAAGTTATTATTTGAAACACAATAAAACTTTATTTTAATTTCAATCCGCTGTATATTTTCTTGCAGGATAAGAAGGCCTTGGTGTCGTTCACCACTGGAGCCATGGAGTCCATGTATAGTCCTGCAGGCCTCAACGGAGACATCAACGTGATTCTGTGGCCTCTGCAGGTCAGTCTCTGCTCCTCTGCTCCTCTGACCCTCTGACCCTCTCCTCTGCATCATCAAAAACACCTACATTATATAATCTTGGTGAATAGATATTTATAGATAATAGTGATTAGAAATACGCATGGGTATTTCCTCTTTTTTGTTATATTTTTGTTACGTTATTTACTGACATATCGCTGCTTCACCTGGCCAGTCTCTTCAGTACACATCCCATTTAAAACATGTCGAGTATTTCTGCATGTGTTTTTGATTGGGCAGTTTCCATATCTGGTCTTTATTTTTATTTTTATTTTGCATGATCCAGAACACACAATTCCCCAGTACATTACAAAGATGTGAGTCTAGTCAGTGGTGAATCTCCCCATTTTCAGATGATTGACAGATAGATTAGCCAATCAGGGACGTGCGTGATCCATCTGTACCAAAACAAATGTGGCTGCTCCTGAGGAAATAATAAAGGAAAAAGCTCAGAGGGGACTGAAATCATGGCGGATTTCAGTTTCGGTTTCTTCTGTTTCACATGTTTATTTCATGCATCACTGAAATAAACAAATCTGGTTGGAGGCGCGACGGAGCGAGTGGTGACCAGACTCTCATCACTCCATGTAAAAAATGCAGACGGATCATTCCAGGCCAATCTTATCTCACTGTACATCTTTTGTTTCTTTTTCTCTAGAGCGGCGTACTGCGTTTCTGCGGCTTCCAGGTCCTTCCTCCTCAGATCTTCTATAGTCCGGCCCACTGCCCCGACCCCGTGCGCGCCGCTCTGCTGGAGGGCTGGGGGCAGAGACTCTCAGGCATCATGTCTGAGGCTCCGCTGCAGTTCGCCTCCACCGGCCTGTTCGATCTGAGCTTCCAGGGCGGATTTAGTCTCCGTCCGGAAGTGAAGAAGCAGAGAGAGGCGCAGCCCCACGGCTTCAGCGTCGGGCACCACCTCGGAAAACCTCTGCCCCCCAACAACCAGGTTAAAGCTCCAACAGGGGGCGCAGGGGCCAACTAACAGCACTTCAACATGAATGAACCTGCATAATACTGCATTTGAACAAATCAGCTGTACTGTATTTGTGTTCATTACTAATGATTGTGTTTTAATATCACTGTTTTGCAAATAAAACAACAGTCTTACTAACCTTATACAAACATTAATGCTGTTTCTTATATTTGACATTATGACTTTTTTTTTTATTAAAGTGTTAAGCCGTGTTCAGACTGCACACGTCTGGCGCGAACGAGGCGACTGATTTACTTGTGAACCCTGTGCCCCGCCTGAACCCCGCATGTTGATGTGCAAATAAAGTTCTGAGGCGTGATTTGCGCTTTTTGAGTGTTTTGAGCAGCAAAAAATGAACGGCTCGTAGTTGTAAAACTGGCGTTAACTCGCAAATTCCCAAAAGGGAGGGGCTCGAAAAATTTGCCAAAATTGAACGTTTTGAACTTTCTGCGAATATTTGCATTATGTCAACCAATCAGGGGCTATGTTCTGATAGTGACGTATAATTCTGAGACAGACGTGAACTTTCATTCAACATGGAGGAGACACTCCCTGTTCCCGTGGAAAACGAGTCAATATTTTACAACAACAGCATGAGACAGAGACCGGAATAACCTCAACAGTGCAGAACTTACACCCTCTTCTTTATTCTGGTCCTGGTCTCAGTCCCGGTCTGGTCCTGGTCTCAGTCCCGGTCTGGTCCTGGTCTGGTCAGCCCGCTCGATGTAGTCCAAGTCTGCAATTTTTCCAAATGAAAACAGCAGATGCAGAGGACACCGTTACAGCCACAGTTGATCCTTCTGTAGCGAACACAGTAAATAAAGCGGATTTACTTGCGCAACCAAATTCCCAAACTCGACCTGGACGCATGAATGAAGCGAATCACTCAAAAAAGTCAAGCAGCAAACTAGAGGTGTTTGACGCGATTTGTTTGCACCAGACACTTGCTGTGTGAACATGGCTTTATAATGTTGTTCAACCACCACAAACAGACCTGGAGTTGTGTTTTGTTTCATTCACACATGTTCAGCACACAAACCTGCAGATTTAGACAACGTTTACACTAAAATGAATCACCATATCACCATATCCGAAACGATCTGCGTCCAGACACGTTGTTTCTGTGTCCTCAAGCCTTCCCTATCCACACAGCTTTGAGCATATTTGTTTATGTTTTACAGAAACTAAACTTAAAATCACATGGCTAATTTGCATAAACTGAGCACTTAAAAAAACAGCTCGCTCCTTGTGTCCTGATACAGTTCCGCTTCTGTCGGACTAAAGGACACGACTCAGTAGAATATGAGTGTTCTTTCTGTGACAGAGGAGGTTCTGCTGATGGTGAGTCTGTTCTGTGTTTCTGTCGTGTTGGAGATGGTTCATGTTAAACTTTTCAGGGATTATACATCTGCAGGTCGTACACACAGACACACGTTTATATGAATGGACAGATATTCTAGCCTCTTAGCGTTTTGGCGGTGAATTACTTTGAGGCGCACAGACTTACATCAGAGTATCAGTGTTTTCAGGTGTCCGCACAGTGTCGGATCAGATCTGTACTCAGATGAATTCATGGGAGCTGGAGGCACCAGATCGTTCTGTCTCTGGAGCCGTTTTCAATCAGATTAGTGTGGACGAACACTGCATCCACAACGAAAACAACCTGAATACACACTCGTGTGAATGTGGCCTTAGGCTGATTTTACATACAGTACAGTTCCTTTAAATGACACATTTTCATCCATGTTTCAGCTTCCAGTGCACAGAAATGCAAAACATGAGCTGCCAAAATATATCTTTAAGATATACAGAAAAGGTATACAGAAAAATGCACCTTCACTAGAATCATTTGGATGATTTCAGCTCTGGAATTGCAAATCTCCAGTGAAATAAAGATAAAAGGAGCTGTTAACTTGAAAACTACCACTACATGACATCACAAGGTGGAACAGAGCATTTTGATCTTTAGGGATGAACACAGATGAATAATAAAGTTTTACTCAACATGTGTGTATGAACTCCAGGTCTGTTTTTGAGGAGGTAACAACATTAAAACATGACTTAAAGCTCATAGAGACAATACATGCATCCTGAATTTCGAACTTCAGGGGAAGGGCCCTCAGAAACATTGAGCATCAAACCTCCATGTTTGTTTTCCCAGTGGGATGCTATTGTCAAAGTCGATCTTTTCAAGTCTTTTGAACCATATCACTTTTGTTTCTGGTTCTGATATTGTCATATTTTAATTTTGGGAATCGGACATAATAATTGTGTGGGTTGTTGGATCTTAACAGCATAAAACGGGCTTCGAAAGTTTGCAAACTCCATAACTGCAAAATGGAATCCAATCTGTGCGACTGCAAACCTCTGTTCAAACTGTTTCTCTTCCCAACGGAATTGAAAAATAGTGAAAGGTGAAGGTGATGGGCAGGATTGATCCACAGGAAGAACCAAAAAGGAAACGTTTGGCTGCCTAAGAAATCATCCTGAGTTTGCAGTGAACATTTCGTATGTGGAGCTCCAACAAAGCAAAATCCCGATCCAAAATGTTCGCTGCAAACTCGGGATGATTTCTTAGGCAGCCAAAGGTTTCCTTTTTGGTCCTTCCTGTGGATCAATCCTGCCCAATTGGTTTGGGAAGGGAAACAGTTTGAACGGAGTTTTGCAGTCACACAGATCTAATTTCCTTTTGCAGTTTTTGAAGCCCATTTCTCGAGCCGTTTTCCACTGTTAGGATCCAACAATCACACAATTACGATGTCCAAATCCCAAAACTAAAATATGACAATATCAGAACCAGAAACAAAAGTGATATGGTTCAAAAGACTTGAAAAGATCAACTTTGTCAACAGACGCATCCCACTGGGAAAACAAACATGGCGGTTTGATACTCAATTTTTTGGAGGATCCTTGCAGTGAAGTGTGAGGTGTTTTTACTTTACTATGCGATATGAATTAGAATATTTGTTTAAACTAAAGAGAGTGAAAAACAGACACTGAGACTTACAAACAGTAGCCTACCCTGTGAAGTTCGTAGATAGTATGTAGTCATATACCGAAATGATCAATTATTGTCACTATTATCACGTCTTACTGTATTTTTGTGTGTATTCTGGATCCTAAATCAAAGTTGTCTGACATATTAAATTACAGACCAACTATACATATTGACAAAAATAAATCTTTAAAACTTTTCTGGTGGAGTTGCCTGTTTCCATTCAGGGTTGCAAAATTTTCTAAATAAAAAGCTCGGACACTCACGTTTTTTGGTGGTTGGTAAAAGTAAAATTGTGAAACGAGAAATACTAATTCAGTGTTACCAAACCTGTTTTGTTTGGTTCAGCAGAGGGACAAATCTCACGGCGGTTTGACTTTGCATCATTTTTGCAGATCTCATCCCGTTCCTTTTTTCTTTCATATTCCATAATTTTGTTTGTTTTAAAGGCACTTTGCTCAGTTCAGTTCAGTTTATTTGCCATTTGCAGTTAAAAACACAGCGGAAAAAGGGATGAAAACATTAAAAACACAAACCACAGAATATGAACACAAGTTAAAGACACCATTTAATAAAAATAAACAAGGACAGCAATAAAAGTTTTAAATTATCTGTTTGTTTGGGGTAAAAGCTTTCAACGTTTTCCGGTGGAGGGTCCGTCACCTGCTTGTCTCCTGTTCTGAAAAGTTCCATAGTATAACATTAAACGCGACTATTAGGTGTTTCTGTTGCTCAAAAATACAATAATTCTCTCTGTGAATAGGGTCGCCTCTCCACAGATCTGACCTGTAGTAGCCTATAGATGTCTCCCTTGAGATAGATGGTTTAATCTCTGCTGTGGAACATTCTAGACAAAGCAATAAATAACAATGACATGCAGAAAAGTTGGACATAATTGGACCTTTAAAGCAGATCAGTTCTGCACAATGGACTTTTCAGAGCAGAGGTCAGTCGCAGGACAGTTAATGAATAATTGACTGAGCACCGCACCTTTAATAAAGATCGGCACAAGTTTTTTTTATTTAAGGTAGGACTAAGTAGAATTTTTATTTATTTTTTTATTTACACTAGAAAATTGTGGTCTTTTGCACTCATTCAGCAGGAAACCCAAGGGCCAATAGACGCATCACGAATTTTGGACTTCCAGTCATCGTGCAGTTCATACTGGGAAGGATTTTCTGAAAAAGTGAGCATCAAACCTCCATGTTTGTTTTCCCAGTGGGATGAGTGTATTGACAAAGTCGATCTTTTCAAGTCTTTGGAACCATACCACTTTTGTTTCTGGTTCTGATATTGTCATATTTTAGTTTTGGGATCTGGACATCGTAATTGTGTGGTTGTTGGATCCTAACAGCGGAAAACGGCTCGAGAAAGAAAGAAGTTTGTGAACTCCATAAATGCAAAAGTGAATCAGATGTGTGTGACTGCAAACCTCTGTTCAAACTGTTTCTCTTCCCAACAGAATTGAAAAATAGTAAAAGGTGAAGGCGATGGGCAGGATTGATCCACAGGAAGAACCAAAAAGGAAACCTTTGTCTGCCTAAGAAATCATCCTGAGTTTGCAGCAAACATTTTGTATGTGGAGGTCCATCAAAGCAAACTCCCGAAGCCTGTTTCTCGAGCCGTCCCAAAACTAAAATATGACAATATCAGAACCAGAAACAAAAGTGATATGGTTCAAAAGACTTGAAAAGATCGACTTTGACAATAGACACATCCCACTGGGAAAACAAACATGCCGGTTTGATGCTCACTTTTTCGGAAAATCCTTCCCAGTATGAATTGCGCGATGACCGGAAGTCCGAAATTTGTGATGCATGAGCCATAGTATATTAGAGTGATTCATATTTGAGTCTTTATAGTTCTTGCTGTTTTTGACGTCACTGCTCTAATCTACCTCTGTTTTCATCAGTTCTGCTCTGTACTTACTTCAGTCTCCAGTTTTATTTTCTTAGGCGGTGATACATGTTGGATTCAGCAGCGGTGTGTCGTCACTTATGCACAAATTAAAACAAAAAACTCCTCTGCTCTAGTGTGACCTGCAGCGATCCACAAGCGCTTTGTTTTTGTGACGTTTACGGTCAGTGTTGTTCCTGAATGCACTGAATAATAATTCATATTTTAGGTAAACGTGAAATGAACGCACTTTTTTCC